AAAAGCTACGTGGCAAATCAGTTTATTTAATTACACAGTTAGTTAGCTAATACCCCTGTCTAATAATAGTTGTCCACTATTGACTTGGCACACCCCTTAAAAAATAATAAATAATAGGGATAATACTACCATATTATCCTTTGACTTTATTAAATTTAGTGCTTTGAAAAATGTGTTAGATGATAAATAAAATTTAATAGCAATGGTAAAACAGACATAAAAGGTAAATTATCTCTTGATTTTCTAAATTGGACAAGTATTGTTGGACAACTATTTTTAGTATAGTGGACAACTATTGTTGGACGGAGGGAATAGTAATAGTTGTAAGTAATCAAAATTAGTTAGATAGTTAGAAGTGGAGTCGGCTAACTCACTATAAAGCAACAATGTATTCCTTTTCTTCAGTAATGAGATTCTGAGTTTTTCTCTGTATCTCTCTCTCACAAATCTTCTCTCTAAATTTGATCCTTCATATCAGTGACGTGATTGCTTGATTTTCATTAAATACTACAATATGGATTTTTCACTTCTGCTTTGAATTTCAAGAACATACTTTCAGCCTCATCTTTAGACTTAGAAGATATACCTTACAAATTTCTGCTCATTTCGTCTTTTTGGTCTCATTTAACATATAATAGTAAAGGGAAAAGACTTCTCTTATAGATTATATAGAAAATACTTATATACAATTATATACAAAATATATAAATACAGAACCCGTCATAAAAATAAATTAGTCAGTTGTATTATGTGTGTGATGTATATATTATTAATATAATAATTTATAGAAAGTCCTAACTTATAAGTTTAATTTAATCCAATTTGGAATAGGATTTAACTCTTAACGTGCAGCACTTATAAAGTCCTTAAAGAATTTCAGTTTTCCTTAATTAGAATTTTTTTCGAAAAAGTAATTTTTCTTAGTGTATCTAGAAAAGTCATCAACAAAAGTAATGTAATACTTTTTAAACCTTTGCTAATAATGTTCTTGAAATCTACTAGGTTTGAATGTACTAGTTCAAGTAATGCGGTCTTTCTACTAGTAACAGGCTGAAAGTATGTTCTTAAAATTCAAAGCATAAGTGAAAAATCAATTAGATAGGAAGACCGAGAGATTCAGATCTGATAGGGGTGGTGTATACAATACTAAAACTTTAGAGGATTTTTGTGAAGAAAATGATATTATACATGAGGTTAGTTTTCTCTATAGAACAAAAAAATAAAACCCTTAAAAAAATGATGAATTTTATGCTTTTAAGCTCGGTCTATCTGACAATATATGGGGGGAAGTTGTCTAGTCAACATATTATATTCTTAATAGAGTTCATCATATGAAGTGAGACAAGACCTCCTATGAGTTGTAGAAAGGGTTTGTCCCTAATTTAAAATTTATGGAAGTGTGAGGGTGTTAGGATAGGGTTGATCTACCTCATTTTAAACGAGTAAATAGGTTCTAAGATTTTTGACACTATTTGCAACACCCCACAATTTCTAGCAAAGATCTGAACCATTCTACATTGTGTATAGTTTGAGCCTGATTTACCATTTCTTAAGATCAATTACTAAGTATTGGGAGTGTATTATATATGAATTGGCATCATAAGTAACCTCTAGTACTAAGTCGAGTTCAAACGATTGAGTTTTTTCATGAGATCATGAAAGCAGGGGCGGACCCACGTGTTGTTCAGGGGGTTCACCCGAACCCCCTCGATAAAAAATTACATTGTATATATAAGGTGAATTTTTCTGGATTTTATGTGGATATATATATTTTTGAAACCCCCCTCAAATAATAAGGGTGAAGGAGATAGCCCAGCGGCAACTCCCTTCAATATTAACCCTGACGTCCAGGGATCGAATTCCCTGGGTTAGTTCGTTTTTTTTTTAGTTTTTTACTTTCAGTTTTTTTTTGTTTTTTTAGTTCCAATTCTGATTTTCATGTTTGTTTTAGTTTTTCTTTTTAATAAAAAGTGCTAAAATGTGGTGTTAAACCCAAAAAATTCAAGGGTCCCATACTCCCATTCCTAAAAGCTAATAACTTTTTCACTTTCCAAATCTCTAAATAATTTTCTTGTTCTTCCCCAACACTCAAAACTCAAATATTAAAATCATCTCCCATAATATTCTATTGTTGATTTGACATATTTTAAAGGGCTAACTTTTTGTTTCACTGTAATCACTTATGTTAGTTTTGGATTTCTTGTAACAAAACTAACTTTTTGTACCTATAAACTATATACTACTACTTCCTTGAAATTATTTTTTGTTGGCTTATTTACTACACGTTTATACTTTTATTTTTCGAACCCCCTGAACGAAAATCCTGGGTCCGCCACTGCATGAAAGGGTCAATTCTAACGATTATATCTCTCAGAATATGAAGATTAAGGTGACTCATAACCTATCAAATTCTAGGTATATGAGTCTTATTTCCAACGACACTGACCATTTTTTAATCCGAGTTCAGATTAGAAAATTATGGTTGTTTTATTAAAACATGTCTATACTGGTAAATTTGGCAATGACACTTGTCAATTCGGTGAATCACCAAATAAGTTGGCATATAGCCGAAATGCATCACCGACGTTGCCCAAAAACTTTCAGAAACTATTAATTATGGCGATTCAAAGTATAACTTTGGCGATCTTTCGAATATTTTCGAGATGTGCCTCCAAATCATCGATTTGGCCATTAAGATTCATTTAAATGTTGTTTTATTTTTATTTTTCAAGTCTTCATTCATTCCAAGAGGGGTATTCTTGTCATTTTACCCTCTACTAACTTCCCCAACTCCATCTTATAACCTAATAATAACATCCTTATACGTGAATCAACTCCCACAATCCCTAATTTTCCTTCTTCCAAAGATTTAAAAAAAACATCAAGAAAGGGATTTTTCCAATTTCTCAAGCTCTAAAGGCTCCAAGTTCAAGATTCTCTTAAAAAATTCTAGGATTTTCAGTCAAGATTCTTTCCCAAACTTCATTTTTAAGAACTCCGTAGAAGGATTTCTCAAGTTAAAGATATAAGGTTCCAAGTCCAAAGCTTTTCTCCAAGAATTCCTGAAATTCAGATATGTGGGATTTCATCAATGTGATTTATTTTACTCATTAGGTTCCAAAGAATACTCAGTATTTTAAATATGTGAATTCTGCACACACAATAAAACCTAGGGTTCTTATGATCAGCATGAATTTAAATGCATTTCAGTTTCTTTTTGTTACCAGCTTATAAATACATGTTTTTCCATAAATTTAAGTATTTTTACTTAACTGTATTTTCATGAACCCTCAGGACAAGGAAATTTCATGCCTTTCAATTCAAGTCTTTTAAATTGCATATCTCAGTCCGAATACAAAAATCTTTATTATTTATTTTACATTCAGCCCTATAGTTCCACTTCCACATATTAAGTGTTGCTTTCAGATAATGTGTCTATCAATTAGTCTCAGATTTTACGTATTTATGAGCTATTCAGTTTATCAATATTATTAGTTTTGCAGACCATTAAAGTGATCCATGATGAAATATATTCTCAATAATATATTTAGATAATATATAATTAGACTATTAGTATTTTTGTGACTCTGGATCTAGGATTTAGGTCTAGCCGTATAGAGTTCTTTCAAAATCTCAATCCTTGTATGTTTCTTTTATGTATTTTACTCTAGCTATATAATGTCTCTCATAAATCTAAAAGTCTCATGATTCAGAAATACATGACTTATATATGTGTACTCATTTCAATATTCAAGACTTTTGCCTCATAGCAATAAGATACATGACATGCATGACATCCTGATATGTCATCAATGCTTTTAAACACTTCTCTCAAAAGTAAGTTCCCCATTAGTGTGTATCTGAAATACCATCAATAATCGTGGATCAATGTTTTTATAAAAGAAAAGTTCACTAGTAGTATGGCAGTCAGTTATGGCGTCTACAATTATGGAAAATATTCACATGAGCTATCAGTTATGTTTAGTCAGGAGTATTACTTAACTTCGAGTTGGACCAGATTCAATTTACCCAAGTTTCAGAACTACGTGCCATCGTAGGTTTATGTGTTTTCTAGTGGATACATGCTTTTAGTTTAGTGGTACCACCCTAGATGAGATCAGCCTTTATACCTAGCAAGGTATATTGGACCTCGATGAGGATTATACATCAAACTCATGTTTAGGTTAGGGTGAAATTCGGAGATCTACGAAGGAACACTAGCTATATGCTTAACACATGCAAGTGGAACGTCTACGAAAAAGTTGTCGTAAGTTTTCTCTCAAGGCAAGAACAAGGGATTCAAACTTCAAGCCTTCTATTTAAGATTCAAGCTAGGGCTTCATTCAAGGTATGCAGGAAATTCATCAATGGGTCTTCCTTTATTAGATTATCCTTTATTAGATTAAACCAATTTTGATTTGTGGGTGGGTCGGTCTGATATAAGATATGTGTCTTCTTTAATTTTACTTTATTTGTCGAGTCTATATTTACATGGCACAAAAATAAATTTATTTGGTCATGTCATATTTTTTCTTTAACAAATTTGGTTGAGTGATTTTTTAAGAAAAAAGTCTTTAAGTTTAGTAATTTTTTTATACAAAACAAAGTTGAATGTCATTGCTACATACTGCTAAGTCTCGCTACATAATGCCAAGTCATGTTACATTTTTGTTATAATGTACCAAAGAGTGAAACATAAAACCATAATTCTTATTTCACAAGAAACATTAATAAAGGCATAATACATAAATATGTCATTTAACTTGGCCTAAGCTAACATCTATGCCCTCCAACTTTGAATGTACACAAGTAGACACTTAGACTTATATAAAGTTGAATAAGTAAAGACACGCATCCTATGTGGCATAACACATGTAGGATGCCACATAGCACGTGAATTTCTACATAAGATGCCAAGCAGGATGCATGTGTCTACGTGTTCAACTCTATATAAGTTTAAGTGTCTACTTGTGTACATCCAAAGTTAAATGACACATTTATGTATTATGCCATTAATAAAACTAGAGAAATCAATTGGCAATTTCTAGTGGATTAACACGCATAACAGGATAACAAATCAAAGGGTGAACCATTGCACAAGAAAACCCAGCTCCTTGTTCCATATTAAGTTTCTCAGCACCTTTAATTTTCCAATCAAAACATTGTATCAACACACCAAGTGTCCTATGTAACACTGCTGCTGCAAGTCCAGCACCAGGACATCCTCTTCTTCCACCACCAAATGGGACATAACAGAAATTCTGTCCTTTCATAGCCTCCAATTCATCAGGCTCGATCGCGAGCTGGTTCTCCTCCCCTCCACCAGAGTTAACAAGGTACCTCTCTGGAATAAACTCATCCGCGTTTCTCCATTCATTCGAGTCCCTATTAATCGCGTAAATGTTTAGTACAAGCCTAGAATTTTTGGGAATTGTGTAACCATTGACTACACAATCTTCTCTGCATTTTCGGAATACTAAGGGCAACGGGGGATGTACTCTTAGTGTTTCCTTGACAACAGCTTGGAGATAAGGAAGATTTTGGATATCGGAATCATCAACTAGCCTGTTTGGCCCAACTACTCTGTCAATCTCTTCTTGGAGCCTCTTTAATGCTTTTGGATGGTTCAAAAGCTCTGCTAATCCCCATTGCAAACCAACACTTGTTGTATCAGTTCCTCCCACAAAAAGATCCTATTAAAAGAGGAAAACAAAACATTATCCTTTTTCAATTTGTATGGTGGTGCTTTATTAGGCATGCACGGAACTTAAGAATGAAAGAAATACATTGATCATTACAACTTATGGTTTAAACATCTCGTGATTGTCTATAGCTATAAGAGCAGGTAAAATGGGCAGTTTAAAGTCAAAATGTTTCTAAATATATATATAGTATTTATATGTTATCTAGCAAAACACTTTGGGAGTGAGACGTGGTGGGGAGTGGGTGGTCAGGGGTGGCGGGGGTTGGGATGGTCAAGGGGAGGGTGGTGGGGAAGAGATAATGAACTTGCAGTATCACTTATATAACTTGTTTTGGCTACGAATGTCATTTTTAAATAACTTATTTTCGTAGAGATTAAATGCTTTCCTTCGTGCTAAACACACCTTAAAACAAATGGTGCTATGCTATATAAAAGGGAGTATTTGGAGACAAAGAAGAGCTAGTAGATGACATACATATTTTCATACTAAAATGTACTTTGGAAAGGATAGATAAGAGTCTTATTACCTAGAAAAGACCCTTGATGCCATTGCTAGTGAGCTTCATCTCAGCATTTTCATCATCTGCAATTTCCAGAAGAATGTCCATCATATCCCTCCTCTCTTTTCCTCCCACACGCCTTTCATCTTCGTGTTTCTTTATGATCCCATCCATAAACTTATCAAATTTGAGCAACAAAGCTTTTGCCTTTTTTCCAGCACCAAGCAGATCATATTTCTTCAAAGGACCAAAAATTTCACCTAATCCCAGCTGCCCTGCAAGTAATACTATCCCCTTTGCAATTTCTCTTATCTCCGCGCTCTCGTCGACATTAGTTGAGGTTCTTGTGCTCATACTCAGCCTACAAATAAGATTATTTGTCATAGCCATAAGCTGAATTCCAACATCACAAGCATCCCCTTGTTCCGAAAACTTAACTAAAAATTCCAACACTTTCATCATCTCCTCCTTCCTAACATCAGCAAATTTACTAATCTGTTGAGCAGACAGAATCTCAGTCATGCATATTTTCTTCAAGAAAATCCAAAGTTTGTTATAGTCCAAAATTGAGAACATTGTATCATGGTAAATTTGGTATTCTGAAGAGCCAAATTCTGGCCTAGCAGCAAAATTTATGTCATTGGTTTTAAAGACTTCTTTCGCTATAGTGCCATTGGACACAACATATGAAGTTGACGCGCCTGCATGAATCAACATGAATGGATCATAGCGCGATGCTAATTTCTGGAAGGATTGGTGCCACAAAGAACCAAGAAGATGCAAATGACCAATGAATGGTAATGCTGGTGGACTTGGAGGAAGATGGATTTTTTTGTGTGATTTCTTGATCCAGAATTGAAATATTATTAGACCACATAGTAAACAGATGAACAAGAAAAGCAAGTTATGAAATTGGCTTTCTATGGAAATAATTGCCATCCCTGCTAAATCCTATACCCTGTTAACTTGTGTGTTCTAATTTATAGGCACAAGGGGAAAAAAACATACTCCTTCTGTCCTATTTTACGTGATACAGTTACCTTTTATTATTTATTCTGTTCCAAAAAATATGTTACTTTACTATAGTTAGAAATAATTTAACTTTAAAATTACTCTTCTAGTTTTAATGAACTGATTTTCAGCCACATAAATATCTAATAATTGTTTTAAACCACAAGTTTTAGAAGTATTTTTTTCTCAAACACCGTGTCAAATCAAATGATGCAACATAAAATGGAACGGGGGAAATAATTTAATGTTTCGTAATTTGTAATTATTTTTCATTTAGGGAAAAAGGAATCATTTAGCAGATGCTCTTTTGTCATCAAATAAGGTGAGAGGAATAATTTTGCAAAAGAAGAAGCCACAAGAAAACAATAGATTCCCTCAATACATTAGACAAAAAGAGGTGAGAAGATAACTTGTAGATCTCATCTTTTTAAATTATTTCCTAATTATAATATAAATATAATTATAGCTCAATCAACAATGACATTATTTGGTTTTTTAACATTTCAATTTGGGACTTCCCACTTATAATATAATACTAGTTTCTGCAAATGCGCTTTGCGCGTGTAACCCATATAATGAGTATATTATTTCTTTAAAAAAAATAGTATTAAAAAATATGATTTGAGTTCTTTTTATAAAATATGTCTAATTGAGGCTTCTTACTTTGTCTTACTACTAATTGTGACACTCCAATTTCATGACCTCCAAGTGAATGCACCGAGATAATAATATAAGAAGTTAATAAAATAAACTCTATTTATAAGTCAAAAAATAAGTTTGTAAAGCAAAAAGGAAAAGATAACAACTATCTAAATTAAATTTCTCGATAGTGTTAAAAGTTCATTTTTGTTGGTAGAATAATGTTAGAAGATCAAAAGATTGCATGAAACTAATCCTCTGCAAATCATGGTGCAATATTAATGTTTCTTCAGTTAAAAGCTTGAGAGGAGATTATTTACTTTTTGTACCAAAAATGGTGTAAGATTAACTTTGAGGGAAAGGAATACAAAATCTTTCCACTTTTTTACTTTGCCTTTTGAATCTCCTAATAATTATAATGAATGTGTTCAAACTATTATAGTAAATTCTTTTAGTTAATTATAAATATTTAAAACTAAGGTGCAAAAAGTCTTATTATTTATATTTTGTAAATCAGGATATTTATGAACATAACTACTATTTTTATATAGAATTTAATTTTCTCTTCATACATAACTTATCCACCATTAATCTAATGTTATATGTTTCACCTTCTTCTTACTTTTTTCCAAAGAAAAAAAGAGTAAACATTTTATCACATTCATTCTTAAAGATGAAAGTTAATGTATATGTAAAATTATAAGTACAAAGAACAAAAAAAAAAGATACACATGAGCAAGACAATTAGGCACTTTTTTTTTGCTTTTGTCTCTGTAATGAAAACTGAATATTTGAGCATACAAAATTAAAAATTTGAAATTAAAGAGTTGCTAACAAAACAACAATTCAACTATATGAAGAGAGATAGAAAAGTCTTATTATAATTCTAATTATTACAAATAAGTATAAAACTAACACACCAAGCTTTAATGCTTCAGTAGTTGAATTCTTGTTTATTCTCATGACTGCATAAGGGATCTCACGACTTTCACCACAAATTGTGACAGTATTTCACCTGTTTAGAGCTCCTACACACAAGAATTGTAGGAGTAGTAAATAAAAGTCTTTCTTGGAAAAGTTAAATTTATAGGACAAAAATTACGGAAACATGAAAAGTTACATGAAAATTGAAAGGTCAAATACTATTAAAATAAATATAATGATTCTTTCACTGTCTTTATAATAAATAACTAACAATTCAAATAATTATTAAATTATTATTATTTAATATTTAATTAATTAGATGTTTAATTAAGATTAGAGGTAAAATGGTGATCTAACTTTTCATCTTTGGAGTCTTCCAAAAACTACAGAAACATGAAAAGTCACATGGAAAACTGAAAAGCCAAATACTATTAAAATAAATATAATGATTCTTTCATT